GCTTGTTAGCCGAGTAGCGGCACCGAGGTACAGGGAAGCGCGGGCGAAAGGGAGTGCTGCTTACTGCGGGCGGGAGCGCTGGAGGGGGGAGACCTGTCCGCCTTTCCTCGCCAGCAGCGGACCACTGAGCCGTACTTCGGCCTCGCACCTGCCGCCTATTAGCAGCTGTAGCGAATCGTAGTAGCGTTTAGGTTGGAAAAAATCAAGATCATTGAGTCCAGCCGTTAACCTAGCACTGCTAAGTCCACCGCTAAACCGTATCCCTACGCACCACATCTGCAGAGCTTTTAAATACTTCTGGGGATGCTGCCTCCCAGCTTTTAAATACTTCTGGGGATGCTGACTCCACCGCTTCCCTGGGCAGCCTGTTCCAGTGCTTGACAGCCCTTTTGGTGAAGAAATTTTTCCTAATATCCAATCTAAACCCCCCCTGGTGCAACTTGAGGCCATTTCCTCTCGTTCCATTGCTTGTTACTTGGGAGAAGGGGCTGACCCCCACCTCGCTATGATCTCTTTTCAGGTCGTTGAAGATAGCAATAAGGTCTACCCTCAGCTTCCTTTTTCCTAGGCTAAACAACCCCAGTTTCTTCACAGGACTTGTTCTCTACACCCTTTATCAGCTTAATTGCCCTTCTCTGGACACACTCCAGCACCTCAAGGTCTTTCTTGTAGTGAGGGGCCCAAAACTGAACACAGTACTCAAGGTGCGGTCTCACCAGTGCTGAGTACAGGGGGACAATCGCTGCCCTGGTCCTGCTGGCCACGCTATTTCTGATACAAGCCAGGATGCTGTTGGCCTTCTTGGCCACCTGGGCACACTGCTGACTCATGTTCAGCCGGCTGTCGACCAACACCCCCAGGTCTTTTTCCACCAGGCAGCTTTCCAGCCACTCGTCCCCAAGCCTGTGGCATTGTATGGGATTGTTGTGACCCAAGTGCAGGACCCAACCCTGAGCCGTGTTGAACCTCATACAGTTGGCCTTGACCCATCAATCCAGCCTGTCCAGATCCCTCTGTAGAGCCTTCCTGCCCTCCAGCAGGATGGAGAAAATGAGTTATCACTGTGCAGTCCACTGAATGTAATTGTAGCAACAACTGCTGCTCCCTGTTGCAGTCCAGACCCGTTTGCTCTCAGCTGAAGCTAGGTTAAATAAATCAACCTATTTGCACCTGTGCACAAAAAAAAAATGTGTGACATAATTCTAAATGCTCAAGAACAACCAGCATCTGAAGGGCTACTTTAAACTACCATCGCCTGTTCTCGCAAGCCTGGCAAATTCCCTACAGAAACACAAGTGTCTGTTGATACTGGGCTTCGGGCATTGAACATCTGCATTCTGTAAAACTTACATCAGTTTATCTTCTGTTTCCTTGAAGGCACAAGACTTTGTGTAAACTTTTGCTTAGAATTTTTTACAGGAAAGTTTGAAGTTCTTGTGGTGTCTTGAGATGCCACTGGACAAAGAAGTTACAAATTTGAGATATAACACTGTATTAAAAGAGTACTTGTTAATCCGAGGTTTGCAGTATGCATTTATGAGAGGTTACGGAGTTAAATAAATTGAAATAAGGAATAACTCAAATCCACTGAAATGAGTTGAACAAAAAACTCCTGAAACAGACCTTGTCAAGTAAAGTGTTATGACAGCCAGCAGTCAGACTGCATCACATTAAACCTCTGTTCATATACGCCTTTTTTTTTTTTCCCTCTCAAATTTCAATACAGCAGTTTCCTGAAAAACTAGGATTTACTAGATCCTGAATTTTTGGAGCTGACATGATTCCTTAGACTATCATGAACATTTTTGTTTAGGCAGAAGTAGAGTCTTCCATTTAAAAGGAAAAAGGTGATAAAAATTAGAAGCATGCTTTTCATGTAGTCTTTCACTTGTGTTATTTGCTTGGATTTTTTTATTCATTCAAGCCTGTCAGGTCATACTGCTTCCAGTTTATGACCAAAATACCAGGGTGATGATAAGGAACAGTATGGAACTCACTAACCTTTGTACTTGTGACATTGAATAGATGGAATGTGCTGTGTGTTTCCAAGAGACAGTGTTCATGGGCTGAGTTTTCAAAACATTATAATAGTAAATTGATTGTGATAATTATTTTTTAATCCCAAAATGGAATTATGTTGACAAAATTCATGGCTGATAAAGGATTTTTGCATCCTCATAGTTCTTCAAATCTCTTTATTTCTCCCTAACGTTTCTGTTTTTCAGGTGATGCCTTCTGATTTGTTTTTGGTGTGTAGTAAAGTTGAGTCCTGTGGATTTTGTCAGATAAGACTGTTTCTGAGCGTTTTCCACAATTCTTAATTTTCACAGGTTTTTTAGAGTCTGGCATTTGAAAGATATATGTTCTTGAATTTTTATTTCAATTGCATGATTCATGTTTCTTAAAAAAAAATCCTCTTGTTTTAGGAAGAAGTTTTCCCTTATCCAGAAATTACCAATGAAGAACTAGAGGAGATCAACCAGTTTGTAGGACCTGTAGAAAAATTCTTCAGTGAAGAAGGTATAGTTATTAGTTTCTTATTCATGCAGGTGATTACAGAGTGATTTAACTATAGCAGTATAATAAGATTATGGTACTTCAAATATTTAAGTTATTTTATGCATTTATTGCTAGTCATGTAGTGCTGCTAGTTCTATAGGCATATTCATTTACGGCTTTTTTATATGGAGTATGTCGATACTGATGAAAAGACATAAATCTTCAAAACAGACAAAAATAAATAGAAAAAAAGGGGAAGTAAAAGAATTCTGGGATAGACATAGGATTTGAAATTGGTTTTAGCTTGGTTGAATAATGCTATTTACCACTTCGTATATTGTGAATGTATTCTGGAACTTTTTAACTGTCCTACTGTACTAAAACTGTTTTTAGCAAAATTTGGCCGAGATATTAATAAATGATGACTCATTGAGAAGCTATGAAAAATCAGAAGTAATTAGAGTAGCGATTCTATTTGGGAAAAGTCATATTAGCCATATGCCTTCCAGATAGGGTTGCAGGGTGTTTTTCTATTACTAGTGCAATAGATAAGCTAATTCTAGAACAACTGTAGAAAATTGGGTTTTTATGGACAGCAATTTCTGAGACAGTTAAACAGTATCGTCTCAGATTTCCCGCTGACAAAGTTACTAGGTCTAGATTGCCAAACACTGCAGGAGTTTGAAGAAGCCTGTGATTGTCACAGATTGCAATTTATGAGATCCAGGTAATTTTAACTAGAAAATTGTAATATCGCTCACTGACAGTACATGAAGAATTTGTGCAGATTACATTTGTTAATTCTTTGCTCTGTTGGGGAACATCATTTATTGAGTAAAAAACCTGATATTTAAGGGAAGAATAAAAATTTCAAATTACAGGGTCTTGACTGAAGGTGGAAATTTCTTGTCTTTGTTTGAATTCAGGGTGAAAATAGGTTAGGAGAGCAGCCTTAAACAGTTAGAAACTTGATATGATTGGCACTGGGTAAGGAAATTCATCTTAGCAGAGTCATTACGAAGCTTGATAATGTCCAGACACCACAGATAGGTCTGTATGGATATAATGGAGGAAGAGGTAAAAAAACCACCTTTCTCTCCCCTGATGCCAGCTGATAGCATATCTCAAATATGTGTCTGATACTATATAGCTAAAAAATTAGTGTGGGGAACAGAACATCTTTTTTAAAATGAGTTTTCTTTCTGAATAACTTCTCATAGAAGACCATCAGAATGCTTAGTTGCCTCCCCCTATTATATTTCATACAGAAGTTAGAGCGTCATTTAGCTGGGCTGAATGTGAGGTTTCTTTAGGAAAGCTCCACTGCTTTTGCAGTTACTTCTTTCTGTGTAGTTTTTTGAGAGATGGCTTGTGTTCCTTTTGCTGCAGTTTACAGCCTTCCTGAGCTGCTTAACACAATACTTGTTTATTTTCACTGTCACCGTTCAGAACAGCTCTTTTAATCCCCCAAGAATTTGAAGAACTCATAAGAAGATTTTTGTAATTGGCTCATTTATGTACTTTTTTTTTTTTTTAAATCATGACCTAGACATAGTTCACATAGAAAATCCTGGAAATACTTTGCTTGTTCCAAGCATGGAATCTGCTAACATCCACACGCACAACCTGTACACATAGAAATGTTTGAGAAAATGAAATAAGAACCACTTTTTTCCCACTTTCAAGTCCTTTTCCTGTATATGTTGTGACTTTACAGCCATAATCAGTATTCTTGGGACCTTCTAGTTGGTTCTGTATTTTGACTTTGATGGTGTAATAAGGTGGGCTACTTAAGTGGAGCCTTGTTCTCCGGAAACAGAATTGGGACTTCCCACTGCAATGTTTAGGACTTGTCTGTGTGATTGTAGTCAAAAGGCTAAAAATCACCGTTTTTCGCTTTGCAGGGAGGAGGACTGGTTGGGGTGGCAGGCTGCGGCAAACAGCCCCCAGCCAACCCACCATATTGTCAGTCTTACAGGACCTGGTTTAGGGTTTGAGACTTTTTCATCGGTAAGGGGAGGAGGGCAAACAGGACAGTCAGTAAGGTCAGACTGAAGCTAAAAAGAGTAATTCTTGTGAAGCTGGGGATGAGAAATATTTCTGTATCTGGTGCAACAGGCACTGTGTCTTTTCTAAAGATGCTGCAGAAGACTAGAGGAAAATTATAGCAGGGAGGGATGTGATGCTCCAGCAGCCCTTTTGTCAGTTCTTCAGGTCTGAGCTTTCAGACTGAGAGGTTGAAGGTCATAGTGCTGCTAACTCGTAGGACGCAGTGACCTTGGCTCTGATTTGGGAATGCTGCAGTCTCAGGGATTTTTTTTGTGCACTAAGAAACAGAGTTTTAAATTATAAAACCCTCTTGTATTTGTAGTGGACTCTAAAAAGATTGATCAAGATGCAAAAATCCCCCCTGAAACTTTAAAAGGACTGAAGGACTTGGGTCTTTTTGGTATGCAGATTCCAGAGGAATATGGTGAGTAAAGGATCACAAAAGAATAATCCAGTAGTCTGTATTAAGTAATGCATTTTTGGGTCTTGCAAAATGTGTCTGTGCTGTTCCGTGTGTAGTCATTTGACTTGGAGGTCTAAATTAGGAGCTGAGGCTTCCTCCCTTGTTAATAAAGAAATGCGTGCACCAAGAACATCTGTTGGCTATTTAGAGAGCTCTGTGTACTCTTACCTTGGGCACCTAAGTTAGATAACTAATTTTAGATGGTGTAAATTCCTCTTGGCATAGCATTTTCCTTTTTGTTCTTTCTTTGGATGCAGTAGAGTAGCTTGACGATCTGCAGGACTTGCAGTTCTTGCTGGTGGTCCCTAAAATTGTACTGCGTCCAAACTACAGTCTTCTGGAACTGATCTATCAAAACTGTCACCTGTCATTGGCAGATAGGAATGTGTTTGACCATATCGAAGTGTAAAAGTATAATGTCTATTTATTGAAAGTATAGCTTTTGTATAAAATCTTTCATGTGCAATATTGAACAAAAAGTTTATGTCTTAAAGGATGTTATTGTGCCAACTGAGATCAGAGACATTAGTTCCTCAGTGGATTAACCCTTAAACTTGCAAAGGAATTTTCAAGAAAATGTTGGTCTTATTCTTATGCATAAAATAAAAAAAGGGATTGAAACTAATATTTTAGATGAAATTTATAAAGAAGGAGATCATTGCATTGTTTATTTTCTATTACAAAAGAAGGAGACTAAAGGGAACAACTCAGAGGAAGACAAAACTGTGTTTGACCACCTGGAGAAGATAGTTTCAGTGGGGAAGACACCTTCTTGAAGAGAATAGTGTGAAACAATCTGTTTTTCTCAGTGGTTACAATAATATTATATAAAGCTGGAGACATACCTCAGTATTTCCTTGGTGTTAAAGTAATGCCCTATTTTTTGTAGCATTTTTTGTTACACCTTTTTTGTTTGTTATATTAGGCAACATAACTAGTGTTGCTGTGCTGCACTGATTTCAATTCTTTAAATAAAGTGTTTATCTACAAATTCATTAAAGTATATTGGACAACTTGCATGTACTGTAACATGATGTGATCTTGATTAATTGTTAATTAACGCTTTGGAAATGTATTGGAAATGGTATTAAATGTTTCTCATGAGTATTCAGAACTAGGCAGGGTGATGTGAGAGTAAGTTAGAAAAAAGGTTTGCAAGCTCTTTCAAGTTTTTCTCCTCAGGATATTATCTTGGGAGGGGGAAGATCTGGACAGAGCACCTTAACCCTGGTGGGCACAGAGAGGTATTTAGGAGTTCAGAAATATATCAGAAGAAGACAGGAGGTTAGTGTCCACTGAGAGGAGGTGTTGGAAGCAGAGAACAAAGGACACAACTCAAAGCAGTGTGTTAGGAAGCATTGTGACGTTGGAAGTGTAACTTACCATTGATTAACTAGAAATAAGTTTCTTACTGTTAATTTTTTTTAGAGTCTCAAAGGCAACGTATTTGACTTCAAAATCATACTTCAATTTAACAAAATGTTATTGTTGTTTTGATCTTGTAGTTTTGAAGCCTGTGAAATAATATTCTCTCAGCTTCCAGTTTGTAAAAGGTTGCAATCCATTCAGCAGACTTGTAGAAAATTGTAGTCCTGTTGTCTTGTAAACATGTATGCTGGATAAAAACCAGAAGATGGAAAGCAACCACTGTTGCTGTAAGCAAGCTGCGTTTTTCTGCAGCATAAATAAGATGCTTCTAACAAGGTTATTTCCCATTTTCTGTAGTTTAAACCTGCTATGTTTTTGTTGGTAGTACTTGTCATATTTGAAAACTCTTCAGTTGCACTTACTCAGTACTTCGTGCATTGCATGGTGGTTTTCATAATGGTTTGTAATACTGGCATACTTGCCAGAAGCATTAAAATGCGGAACATTAATGGGAAAAATGAAGCTCCATTAATCATGGAATAGTGGCTCTCTTTAACATGATCATCATGGGAACTACTGCTCACATCATTGGTAGACTCCAAGCTGAATCCTGATCCCAGCACCGCTTAGAAAGGGGAGAAGAAGTAAGAGTGTATAGACAGGAGGAGCACAAGTTTTAATTCATGTAAGCATGCTCTAAAGGAGAAAGGTGTAAGAGGCAGTGATGTGAATTAATGGTATCGGGGAGACTTGTTCTTGTGTTTATTCAATATACATAAAATGGTAGGACTATTGAGACATCTCCTGAAATAAGATATTTATTATCCTGTCTTACACTGTTGTCCCAAGTGGAAAATTATTAACCTGGACAAAAGATTATCTTGATTAGATAAAGTTGTTTATTCAGCAGTAATGGATAAAATACTCTTAAATTACAGGAAGCGGAACTTGTAGTCCTGACGACATAAAATTCTTGAACGTTAGACTCGTACAGATGCAGCTTTGATTTATCATACTTCTGTTCTTTTCGAGCTCTTTACAAATAGTCTCTGTATTTGCAGCAGCAGATCACAAAATTCCTCCAAAACAGATGTGCTGGTGTCAAGTTTGTTTCTTGATATATTGACATTTTTTGATGAAAGACATTTTTGAAGTGTTGCATTTATTCTTTTTTAGTACTGGTTTGGAAGTCTGCTTGGGCACTATTTTGGGTCAGTTTTGTTGTCTAGGTCATTTTCTGTCCCGTTTGCAGGGAAGCTCAGGGCAGCCTGGCTGTCTTTGTGTATCGATACAGGCCCAGCCCTTGTCCAGCACTTCTGCCTCTGCTGCGTGGTCTGCAGCTGGTCAGCTGTAAAGCTGTATGTGGGTTAATTCTCTGGCTTTGTAATGCAGCCTGGAAATGTCACCCAAAAAAATTCATTTTATCCTGTAAGCACAGAAATTCAGACTAGAGCAGTTTTTATACTGAATCTTTTACCATTTCCACATTGGATTTACATGGATCATGCTGCATTTGCTGTGTGTGCAGGCATGCCTGAACACAAACACATCTGCTTTCTGAACAGAGCTAAATGCAGCGCAACTCATGCCTATTAAAAAAGGTACCGTTTTCACAATGCATTTTTCTGGCACAACTGCAGAAATGTGGTACTTGTTTGTGGACATACTATATCTAATCTATACTTAATTAATAGTGTTACATTCTTGGTATTTCTGTACTTGAGAAGGATTTTTTTGGGGGGAAGGGGCAAGGTAAATTATAAGATATCTACTTAGAATAGAACATATTTGTTCCAGGTGGTCTTGGTTTATCAAATACCATGTATGCACGTTTGGGAGAAATCACTTCTTTAGACGGATCTATTGCAGTTACTCTGGCAGCTCATCAAGCTATTGGGCTTAAGGTAATGTTCTTCTTTTATGTCAAGTACTTCTACACCACTTGCATAGAAAAGGTGAGGTGAAGTTTGTTAAAATGTGGAGTATGGCTGTAACAAATAGCAATTACCAGTGAAGCATGAATCAGGTGGAACATTCTGACGTCAGGTTGGTTGGTAGTGTTCCCCGCACCCTCTGCCAGTGGCTCAGTGTTAAGACTTCCATGCAGCCTAAGCGCTGAATGTGAAGTACACAAGAAGATTATTAGTCCAGGAAACATTGAGATAATTCTTAGAAGAAATACCTTAAGTGATCCCAAGTTTCTAAAATTGAGCAAACTTGATAAAAGTAGCAAATACTGAAACAAATAAAATAACCGGGGGGCTAAAATTATGGAGAGGTAGGACAGCCATGCAGAGAATTCAGAAGGGTGCAACTTTTTCTAGCAGAATGAGGCTGTATATTGGGGGAGCTTAGAGAAGAAAACTTACCAAAGACCAATGTACTGTAGCCAGCGTGTGAATTTTAAGCTCGTTTTCTATATAATGTAGTGGTGGATGGATGGTAGTAATCTGAAGCTTGAAATAGCAGTAAGTTCATTATAAGAAGAAAAAATTCTTCATGGAATTGAGCAGACAATGCTAATTAAAAGCAAGTATTTATTCCTCAGCTTACTTAAAATTTTACCGTCTGTAGAACAGAGGTAGTGAGCTGAGCTGATTTGTAAAGCAGTCTAATGAGAAGTGTCCTGTAAGACAGACCCCCTGTTACTCTCCCGCTGTGGCCGGTTTGGGTCGGTTGGGGTCAATCCTAATTTTGTTGAGTAACTGTATCTTAGCTATTTGACCATTGATTATTTAGCTTTATCATGTATTTTTGTATTTTGTTTGTCCTTTGTAAGAAACCTGCTGTACGAAAAATAAATAGAACAGAGATAATTAAAACAAGTGCACTGTCACAAAAAGTAGTTGAAGGCCTATGTAATGAAATAATTTGGTAACTAAGTAAATTATGTGTTCTGTTCTCTGATTAGGAGCTTTGAAAATTGCTGCTTTTGAGGTTACTAAAATCAGATTATAGTGATGGTAATGAAGGTATGGCAAATTATAAAGGAAGGACTATCTCAGTGCCTTTCAGAGCAACAGTTAAGTCTTCGCTTACAGCATAAATACAGTGAAACCTACCCTAGAAGGCAGTCTTAATAATAAACCATTTCCTATGGGCATTTGAACAGCTGTGTGATGATAACTTTGACATATTTTAGTGCCTGATAAATAACAATGTCCATTGTTTATTAAATGGTCTCTTGTTACACCATAAAATTTGCAAATTAAGCTTCCTGAACTTGGCGTATCTTGTCAGCTTCATTTCTTTTTACACAGGTTGGTGCTGAAAAGTTTTCTGTTAATTCTTTATTTAGGGAATCCTCATTGCTGGCACTGACGAACAGAAAGCAAAGTACCTGCCTAGACTGGCATCTGGGGAGCACATTGCAGCTTTTTGTCTCACTGAGCCTGGAAGGTACTGGTTTTGTAATTGTCAAAGCTTCAGAAAGCACCAAAACACCAAAATGATTTTTTAATTATTTTCATCTTCATTACAGTGATTGTTTGGTTAACATAGTAAATCTTTCTTATTTGGTGCTTATGGCTTCAGTACGTAGGTCAGGTTTTTTAATTTTTTTTTTTTTTAAAGGTACACTTCAAATCACATAATTCATCTTTCCCCAATGTGCTGCTTATGGTGGTTGCCATGAAAGCACTAATGGTGGTTGTTCCCATGCCAGGAACTCATCCACTTCATTTCTGGCATTACTGAGTATGAATTGAAAGGATACTTTGTGCTAGGTTAGAAATAATGTGCTGTGACTCTTCTAGGATGCTTTCAGTTCTTTTTCAAAACTATAAAAGCCTGTATTGAAGGAGCTACCAAAAATAACGGGAAGAAATTTTGGTCTTTCCTTAGAGTTTAGAAAAGGCATCTTTGTAGCAGCAACTTCATTTAATGATAAAGTTACATTTATTAAGTTTATTCATTGGCTATTGCTAATGTTGCAAATTCTGTTAATGCAGAAGAGGTACAGTTTTCTTAAAAACATATAGGCAGATGGTTTACTACGTGACTGTAAAGGAAAGAGCTTGAAGGACTGAGACCAGTTGAATGTGTGAAGTTGAATCTTGCTTGTCCATACAAAAGTATCGTTTGAAACTGTCTTTTCTGAATTCTTCTGTGTTAGAGTGACTTGAAATGAGTATTTGATTTACTTACTGATTTTCACGTTCCTGTGATGTAGATCCCTCCTAACCATCAGTGATGGTTTTTATTCAAGAGTCCTGAGCTGGGTTTTGACCCACTAAAAGCAATCCCACTTGCAGGTAAAATTTAAACTAGCACAGATATTTTGCCAAAGTGCTCCATGGAGGAGACTTGGAAGTAACACATAGGAAACAGACAAGGGCTAACTGTGTTCTGAAATTCTTCTAACGTCTTTATTTAGCCCAGTGTTATTTAAAAAGATTGCTGCCTTTAGTAACTTGAACTTCACTCTTCTTGGAGACCTTAGTTGTAGTGCACAGAAGCAATCATTTTTAGAACTGAGTATTAGAAGTCTAACCCTATTAAAATACCAGCTGAGATCTGACTGTTGCAAGAACTTAACAGCTGTCTTCACCTCCAAGCCCGAAGTGAGCCGTTGTGGCATTTTAATTTGTGGAAGAGGAAACTTCTTTCAAGGGAGAGAGGACATGCTGCTTGTTACATTACGTAGTAAGGTGGTGATTCAAGAGAGGGCGTGAACTTCTCATCGTAGAAAGTAAACTTTGAATTGCTTTGTTGTAATTCACCTGCTGGTTTTGCTCCTGTAGAAGGTATTTGATGTACCCAAGTGCTCACTGATCGAGACTGTCACATGTTTGTTTTCATTTCTGTTGAGCCTTCTTTCACTTAGGATATAAAACCAGGGTGTGAATTTTTGAGGAACAACTTAGAGATTTTAAACTTGTTTGTGTTTTAGGATGACAGTTTCATTGTATGTTCACAAAGCTCAACATGTAGCTCAAAAAAGTTGTTTATGTGGCATTCTGAACATTCTGGTCAGGTCATAAGGTTGAGAACAGACATGTTAATCAGCAGAAATGTCCCCTCAGGTAGCTTAAGTAGAAGTAGTTTTCTTTAGAGTTGTTGAATCTAGTCCATTTCCTCGTTAATTAAAAACTAAAATTTACATCCTGCTATTTAATACAACTGTAAACATTCCTTTTTAAAGGATGGAAAGAGGGAAAAGATGTACTTTTGTTTTTTAAAGCATGTTTATTTCTTTAAACATTAATAATTTGTTTGGCTTTTAGTGGAAGTGATGCTGCGTCCATCCAGACAAGAGCAACCCTCAGTGAAGATGGGAAATACTTCTTATTAAATGGCTCCAAGGTATCCACTAACAGACTAGAAATATGACAGGCTTTTGATACAAGTTTATAGAAAGCATGTTTGGTTTCGCAGCATTGCAGTCGGTCAGTTTTGCTAAGTAAGAGACTAGCTTGGCAGCTGCATCAGAGTGTTGTGGTTTCCACGCTAGTGAAGAATGACCATGTCAAAAAAGACAACTCGTGTTGTTTTAGTGCCACAGAGAATTGAAAAGCATGCTGTTCAGGGAATAACCCTACACTAAAGTCTTGGTAAGAAAACTGTGAAAAGCCACTCTTAAGTTCCTTCTCTGTGTCACCAACTCATGGTGTTCAGCTTCAGGGAGGGTTAGTTAGCCCCCTCTGTGACAGCATAGGCAAAAAGAAACCTAAACCTATGTTTCCACCCCCTTCATTCTTCATGCCAGATTTTGGTGTTTTTGAAAGAAAACTTGACACTGAATTGGAAATAGGGCTGCTTGGAACATTTCTGCTAAAAGAAACAACAGCAAAATACAGTCTTGAAGAAACATAGACATGTACTGGATTCAACAATATTTGATACATTGCAGACTTGAGCTGTAGTTGTTGATATATTTGTGATGTGAAGAGGCCCATCCTGTGGGAGAGGCTGTACGTATGTGGTCTGATTCAGAATATTTCTCATCAGAGTTGAAATTATTTTGGGCAAAGTAGTTCTGTATTACCCTCATATCCCTCATGTGCCATAAGTAGCAGGATATACAAGCTTTTGTGAAAATGCACCCTGGATTTTAATTTAATTCAAATCTATATTACAACCTATTTTTATAGTTGCTCTAAATTTACCATTCTGTGGTCAACTTCTCTTGGAAATGTGTTCACAAGAGGCAAAACTATTAGCAGAACACTCATTAGAATTTAAGGGAAGCAGCAGCAATTTTTCACCACTCTGTTCTTTGCTGGTCTGTTACGGAACATTTAAGAACAGTGCTCACAAAATCAGAACGAATACATTTCTTCTGCATCTTTCCTCTCTCAAAACAGGTTTGGATATCAAACGGTGGCCTTGCTAGTATTTTCACAGTATTTGCTAGGACAGAAGTTGTTGATAAAGATGGACAACTAAAAGACAAAATAACTGCTTTCATCGTAGAGCGGGATTTTGGTGGAGTCACCCATGGGAAACCTGAGGATAAGTTAGGCATTCGAGGATCCAATAGTAAGAATCACTTAAATTGTTAACAGAAATTGTTTTAATATTTTAATTTGTTTAGATATCTGAATTCGGAGGCAAATCAATACCTGTTCCACAGAACAGTGCAAGTTTCATGTTTCTTTACCTAGTTTTTCCTGTGAGTCTAATGCAGGGTCTGAAATAAGAAATCCATATTGTATCATTCTTTTCTGCACATGTGACGCTTCCCTAACTGTGCCGTGAAAGAAATTACTCAGAAGATTCAGTAACCAAGTAGTTTTAATCTAGAAGTAAGTTTTCATAGGCTCTTCTTAAGCTTACTGATGATTATAGCTTTTCACCATCTATCACTTGGACTTGACTGCCAGTTCCTTAAAATAGATGTAAAACTATAGTTCGCTGTTTGCACAATGTACATTACTTATTTTGAATATTTCACATCAGAAATTGATGTCAGCTACAGTCTTTTCTGAAATTCTAACTTCTTTGGCAAAGCGTATGTCATTCTGTCATAAACAGTACATTAGGAAAACTTTACTTCTTGTTACAAAAAGAGTTAATTATGTTCCTGAATATCTTTTAAATATTTCTACATAATAATTCAACAGCTGTTAACTCTTGTGTTCCAGCCTGTGAAGTACATTTTGAGAACACAAAAGTGCCTATAGAGAATGTAATTGGAGAAGTAGGAGGGGGATTTAAGGTAAGCAGTGAAGAATAACTACTGATGATTTTTAAAAGCCTGAAGGAGACCTCCCCCCCCACCGTTTCCTGTACTGAAGTTTCCTTATTGGTAGTATGAACTTGCTAAATTTCTTAACAGTCTTTGAACTGAGTCACGTTTCCCTTGTTAAGAAACAGTAACACTAGATTTCAAAATCTATTTTTGTACATTGTTGATCTATATTTTATTTCTGCACCTTTCATTCTTGTTCCCTCTTCTTGTCTGTTGCTGAAAGGTATTTGGAACAGGAAGGCATCCATCGCGGGTCAGCTGCAGAGATTTTTATATTTGGCTGTTGTGTAAACACATTAAACAATATTCTGTTTTTCTTCTTCCTCTGATAAACTTCAGCAGTGCTGTCTAGTTTGACTGTTGTTTGTCCAGTTGCAGATAAATACATTTTTACCTACGTTTTACCTGGATGTAGTTTGAATAGAGGATTACTTCCAGGTCACTGGGTCATCAGTATCTGAAAACTATTTCAGCTATGAAATTGGATGTAGTAGGTGACCTTAAAAGCCTAGTTTTAAAGCATTATTGCTGGGATGCTCAATGCTGTGCTGACCAATATGAGGGCAGGTGTTGCAGGACTGGAAGCGTATTCCAGTGACGAGTGAAATCCAGAAAAGCGCTAAAACGTGAAGCAAGATAGCAGTAACCATCGCAGCCTGAGGAGAAGTTTTGTAGCAATAGCACTGCCTACAAACTGTTCACTTTCTTCACAGGTTGCCATGAATATCCTAAACAGTGGAAGATTTAGCATGGGCAGTGCGTCTGCTGGAATGCTTAAAAGATTGATAGGTGGGTGAATGAAGTATGCTGGGTTGTTGGGTGCCATGCAAAAAGCTGATCTGCCTAAGGTATAAAATGCAGTTAATTCAGAATAGCAACACAGGTCTTGATCATAACCACGTCACTATATTGTCAGACATAACATGCTTTGACTTCTTTAAAACACTAAAATATTTTTATTTAATTTTTTTATTAAAAGCCTCTTTACAGTGTTTTAACACTGAAATTTTTTCAGTTCATATAGTGGAAAGTTATTGCCTCTGTTGAATTTTTCTGAAGGTACAATGTTCTTACTAAGATAATATATATACCATTGCTTTTAGAAGGGATAACTACTGGCTCAAAGCTTATACACAGTAGTAATAAAATTGGTTTCTACCAATAGTTACCCAAAATAGTAACAGAAGTCCCTCTAAAGTAGTCAGTTAGCTCTAAAACATGCTGTCTCCCAGAGCACAGGTTGGCACCTCAGATCATTGTTTAAAAGCCATTGGCTCACTGTTCCCAGACTGGATCAACACCATCAGTCGGAGGGTGTTTTTCTCAAACTACTGCTTCTGAAGCAGCGAGGGCTTCACTATGTGCAGGTTGAAGTGTCACAGTCAGTCAAGAGAAAGCCACGTATCAGAAAAAAACAGCGGGAATTGTCTCTCACAGTTACAGTTCTGCTGGTTTTGAGATGGATTTTGGTTTGGATTTTGTTTTTTTTTTTAAAGAAATGACGGCAGAGTATGCTTGTACCAGGAAACAATTCAATAAGAAACTGAGCGAATTTGGATTAATTCAGGTAATAAAAAATGAAAAACTTAAATCTCTGTGCTTTATATTGACTCGGTGCAAGGACGTAGATTATGTTGGGGTTCTTTTGACTGTACTGGTTTAAAGAAATTGCTAGAGGTATTAAATTTGTATAAACTTAGCTCAGACTTGTGTACGGTGATCTTTTAAATGTCTGGACTGATAAATGTAATGAATAAAGATGGTTTTTTGTTTTTTTTAGATTTTTCATGATTGTTTTGCAGTAGTGCTTTGTATTAATTAGTATTTGATAATATGTTAAACATATGAAACTGCAGTTATGCTCTTAAGTTTCAGGCTTGACTGTGGGATTTTGCATCTGAATTACTGTATGATTCCTCACATTATTATTTGACAGGAGAAGTTTTGTTTTATGGCTGTGAAAGCATATGTAATGGAGAGTATGGCTTACCTCACTGCAGGAATGATGGACAAGCCAGGGTTTCCAGACTGCTCCATGGAGGCAGCCATGGTCAAGGTAATTAATTTTATTGAAAGACTTGCCAACGGCTTTAAGCTAATGCAGACTAACACCTCTCCTGTTTCTTGGTCTACCTTCCAGATTGCTGAGAAGCTCAGGTATTATGTTCAGACATACAATACCAAAACCTTAGCTACATGAAAAAAATACTTTACTGTTTTCTATATCCCACGTGCTATTGATTGCCTCAGATTCAGGATTTTGTTGTTGTACAAAATAAACACTGCATACAGCAGGTTTGGAATATCATGGTCCACTTGAATTCTGTTTTTGTGAGGCCTCACACAGTAGAAAGAGTAAAAAGACACTCAGTTATATTACCAGCTGCAGGCCTGGCCGAGGTGCCTCTGTCCTGGCTTTACCTCAGAATGGTTGCAAAATATATATGGAGAAAGAGTCAGGCCCTCCCTACTGCCCTGTCACTATGGAAGGCATTTACTCAGCATAGGGCTGGGTGCTGCTGGCTAGCAGGCACCCTTGAGGAGAACTCGCAGGTTTTCAGCCCTCGTTGATGATGCCTTACGGTGTGGTTGGTTTAAAAGACGTCGTGCTCCAACCAACCAGCTACTGCTGTTCTTCCAGTTTGTGGCTGTTGCTGTCCCAGGAATATTTCCTTATAGGGATGTTTTGGTGAGTTGCAAGGAAGCTATTGAAGTTTGACCAAAGTATGCATCCTGAGCTATAAGGATACTATTTCAGGCAAGCTTTTAACAGGACTATTGTGACAGCAGTACGAAGTATTACAGCGATGTCACGTAGATACAGTAAGGGAGCAGTGTATTCTGTATTTACTGTGTACAAGGGCGATTAAAATATTGTTCAACTGCAGGTGTTCAGTTCTGAAGGTGCATGGGCTTGTGTAAGTGAAGCGCTGCAAGTTCTTGGAGGCCTCGGCTATATGAAAGATTACCCCTATGAACGCTATCTCAGAGATACCAGGATACTTCTGATTTTTGAGGCAAGTATCAATACGCTGGTTTTACTGTAAATGGAAATTCACACTCTCACATTCTGTAAACCTGCGCCAAAACCCGAGTATTCAGTTGAAGAAGCCTTCACTCATTTCGTTCCAAAGCCTGTAATAGTTAGAATAAGACTGCAGAACTAATCTTGTTTTCTTTGGAGATACAGATAGTACTTTCCTATAATAAAATAAGATACGATGGCTTTTATAGACTAACCACAAAGTGTGAGCTACAGTAGGAACTGGCACCAGCTTCGCCTCTGAAAAGAACAAACTGGTAATACATATACAGTTACATATATATACTAGTAGTGTATGTACAGTTTTGTAAATATTTAGAAACTTTCTGCGTGTTTGTAACAAAATAGGCAGCTGTTGTAAATACACTGTCATGAGAAAAAAGAGCCCCAATTCATGCCTTAGGTTTGTTGTTGTTTTGAACAGACTAAAGGATTCTAAATTAGCTTAAAAGCCTAAAACTATTTTAGTTGACCAAAGGAGCCCATCAGTTTATGTTCAGGAAATAGTTGTAACGGCATATGCTGCTTCATGATGCAATCGGTGTGCTATCTCTGCTGAAGAAAGGGCCTTACGAGAATGAAGTTGGCCATCTTGCTTTGTATCAAGCATATTTTGAAACGTTTGCTGCTTTTATTCACAGGTATGTGTACTAATATAAGTGATAGGATTTGGTAAGAGGTATGGGCAAAATGTTAATTTTTAAATGGATATCTCTAATAGGACTTTTTTTTTTTTTTTTGTGGCTAAGCTGCTCTGTTGGTGCCTAGACTTAAGTAACCTCTCCTCTTGTGTGCTTCTCACAAGTGAAGTAGGGAAACTCACAAAAGATTAATTTACAAGTTTAATCAACTTACTGATGTGGATTTATTTTAAAAAAAAAAAAGTTGGCTGTGAAATTTATTCTGTTTCCAAGCTGGATTATCAGTGACAATTCATCTGTACATCTGAGTCAGACTTCCAGACTTGATTTTTCTTGACGGACCATTTAGAAATGATCATGTACTTCCTGCTGTCAGGACAGCAAAGATCACAACTGCAAATTAATGCAAGCAAGAATTTTCAAACTGCAGTTGAGTGCCTAACAGTCACCTAGCTGCTCTTGCAAAACACATGTGTGCTTATCTCTTGTAAGTAGGCAGTCAATTCCAATATTGATTAAAGAGCAAAACCAGCCAACCTATAAAGTCATCCTCCTAGATCCTGTGGGGTTTGATGTTGAGGAATCTGACAGACATTCTGAATAGTAAAACCAAAACCAGATGTAGGGAGTGCTTTCTAGACTGGCCAAAGCAGAGACCTTTCACATTGGACAAGTTACAGGAAGTCTTGTTTAAACAAAACCAAACCACCACACTACTGGAATTCATGTAATTCAGCTCCTTTTTCTCACTAATGCCAACAGTTACATAAAGTTACTCTTCTGCTAAAGCAAGGAGATTGTCCTTACCTTGTTTATCTTAGCCTCTTCATAAGGGACCTGCAAGCAAATAGAGTTTGCTGCAGCCAAGGACAGAACACTTGTCCAGGATCTGTTTCTGTTGTCCAACAACAACAGCAGGTGGGCTGCGCTGTGTCTGTGCCCCTCCAAAACTTCCTGCTTACTCCTAATAGCGGCCAAACACTTTGTCTTGGAACTTGTAGGCTCTTTGTCACTTCGCCTGTCACTGAGTCATTACAGTCTTGACACTGATCTGATACTCGGGGTGCTTCTCATCTGTGATCTTCTATGTGTTGATCTTTATTCTTCAGCTATCTATATTAAAACAATCAATCGTATAATGGATTCCCAGACATCAAGCTGTACAACATCATCTTAATTTCTTGGTCTGCATTTGCTTTCCAAACAGGCATATTGAGCAGTCTTACAACTATTTATATGGTCCTTTACTGGAACAAGGCAGAACTTATTTTTTACTTAAAATGTATTTAGTTTGGTTTCTTTTTCATTGTGAAATATATGTATGTTTAACAATAAAAGGCTCAACTTCTTCACTGCTAAATGAAATCAGAATATATAATTGAGATAAGATAGCAAATATTGATGGATGGATGAAGAGTAATCTTTTAATACTAGAACAATAGAAAGGGAAGACTGGCAAAACAGACCTGCTTGGAAAACATTCATTACTATTGTAAACTTTCTAGTTAACTAAAGAGCCTGTCTTCAAAATTGTACATATACTTTTAAAAGAAAAATAAATTAATAGAGTGTTTAGTCGTTGGTACTTGCTTCCAGTACCCCTGACCCTCTGCAGCTGTATGTCCTCTACCTCCCCGGCTTCTGTTACTGCTTCAAGCAAACTCACCTGGAAGTGCAGTTTCTGGTCTAAGTGTGTTTTCCTTACAGGTGATGATCATCTTCCATACAGCTCTCAAAAGAATTTTATGTTATGAGTCCAAAGGCATTTTAGAACATTTCAAGGAAAAGCCCAGCACAAGATATGTAGACATTAAAAGCAGTTTTAGAAGCAAAAAATTGTATACAAAATAATAGCACGGCATATCTAGATTTTTAAAGTACTAAAAATACTTTGTACTTGATACTGACTTCACTTTATATTACTTTTTTTTTTTTACAGGGAACAAATGAAATTCTGCGAATGTATATTGCTTTGACGGGTATGCAATATGCAGGAAAAATCTTAACCGACAAAATTAAGTATGTTCTTCTTTATTGCGAATAGTTTTTAATAAACTAAACAGAATCTGATAACTGTTTAACTCCAGATAAGAGGGAAAACTGTAGCAAAAAACCTGCAGTATTTTTCAGGGTATGTTATCTGTCTAAAAGGTAGCTCAATGTTATAGGGGTCTTTTTTCTTTTTAGTTGGTTGTTTTATAGATTTCAGAATCTTGGCCTTATTGTATTTTATCTTATAAGTCCAACTTGTGTAAAGTTCTTTCTTACAAGATCAGTAATTAAAATTTTATAACTTGAGACTTTATAACAAAGTTTAATTGCTAAGACAGCTGTGTTGTACATAGTGAATACATATACTGGTCTCTGGAATTTATTGTGAGTATTTTTGAAAGGAACTGGATATGAACCATGTTCTATACTTCTAAGGCCATAGAATTGTTCTCCAGACTTCATAGTAAAGTGGATCAAAAGACTTGATGATTCATAGACAAACTGCAGGTGTTTTCATAAAGCATTTAGAATTTCAACTGGTTATCTGAACCTCCTGGAACTTCCCTTGCAAACCAGGAAATGGCCTTTAACAGCTGTTGTTTACCCAACATTTTAGAGAAATCAAGAAAGGAAATGTAGGAGTGGCACTGGGGGAGTTCCTAAGCAAATTTCGCGACGCGATGGGCAGAAAAGTGGATTATGGGCTAGTTGGTGATCGTGGAGTGGTGCATCCCAGCCTCCAGGTAAGGGGAGGGGGGGGACACTGTGCTCCTGGATCAGATCCAGACACCGGTCTTTCATATTTGGTTACCTTCACAGCTTCTCACAACTTGATATCCTGTTTGTGCAAAACCAAGTGTGTGCTCAGGAACAGTGAGATTTACAAATGCAAGCAGCTGTTTATACCATTTCAAGGATGAGGACTTAGTTACAGATCTGGGTACCTATGAAGGTAAAATGAAGGCTGCTCTAAGGCTCTATTTATATCCAGGTCTACATCCATTTTAGTAACTTAGATAAATTGAGCCACAGTATTAAACTCTTTGTAATGGGCTGTTACTGCCCCTCATAATAAGCTCAGTTACAAACCAGTATTTTTTTGCTGTTTAATAGTAACATAGTTTTAGGCAAGAATTTCTGTGAACTATATATATATATATACACACACACACACACTTGCTTAATCACTTAGTAAACAATTTTTATGACCAAAGATGAATATTCTGTTAATAGAAAAAAGATAAGGTATGTTTTTCCTATGGTGTTTTGTTAGTGATTTGAAAATCTGTAACAAAATGATTTTTCCTGTGCTGTCCGTAGACTTGTCCTCTAGGTCAGGTATTTCAGGCACACAGGGCAGAGGATTTCCTAGCACTTGCTAATACTGTTCCGTTCACATACAGAACCTTAAGGACATGGCACCTCCTTCGTATAAAGACGCTGTGTTCTGCTGTGCCACCAGAGTATGTGGGTGGATTATTTTAACTGTCTGACCTAGCTCATATGCTAGATTTCAATTTCCTCTAAACAAACAGCTTCAAACCCACTTACTTGCATTCATATTACAAGAATCAGCATAATGACTTAGTTGCATTTATGAATTAATAAAAGCCAAATGTGACACTGGAAATTTTCTTCCTACTTAATACCAGAATTTGAGACTATTGGTGCATTCACACAGTAGTACCAGATAATCATGATTTTTTTCAGGGTTTTCATAACCTGCAGCACTTTTAGACTAAGAATTAGGTTTGCTATGCAGAACTAAACATTGCATTAGAATTCTTCAAACTATTATTTGCAGAAGCGTAAAGACTATACTGAAAAGTTACCAGTTGTAAAATTTAGAAGATTTGTCTATTTTATAAAGAAAGAATAGTGCCTGTCTGGCTTTCAGCAGCAAACTGGATGAACGTTAAAAAAAGAACAGAAACAATGGTGCTTGCCAAGAGAAAATCTAGTATTAGGTGGGCTTCAGGATACCAGGGCTGCATCTAAACAGTGATTTCCCTGCCCCCCCGAAAAGAAGCAGCATTTTATAATCCCATTCCTTTTAGGTAAATAGAGAAACTTTTTCTCCTTTTTGGCTGGGAAATTAAAAATGTAAAATGGTGAAAGATCATCTTAAAAGGGAAAAAAGGAATTCTGGTCAGTGAATAGAAGTTGATAATAAATGCTGCATTTAGCAGAAAATTTAACTGCCATTTTTTTAGCGGGAGAGGTCGTGCTCTCTAAAGGTAAGGCAAGGCACGCATCTGGGGCCTTACATCATTATTTTCTTCACTAGAATTGCCTATTGGTTGTTCACCTTAGTGTACATTGTTCCTTCCTTCTGCTTACTCAGAATTGATTCCAGACCTCGTAACAGTGTTCTGCTACACTTCAGTCTTGGCCAATTAAAAAAAAAGGAGAACTAGTTTTGTGCTGTAGCTGAGAATTCCAATTTGCGTCTTGCCTACTAAACCCACCAGACCTCTCGGCTTCCTGCGGCCAGCCCAGAGGCCCAGGACATTGCAGGCAGAGCCGCTGCTTTCTCACGCAGAAGGTAGCATCCTCCCAGTAAAGATTTTGGTTTATTGGCTGGGCTGCCCGGGAGTAGCTGCTCCTTCCCCAGAGGTGCTTCCCTGGATTACGAATATGCTTGTTGTTCAGCAAAATGTCCTGTTTTGAGGGGACAAGGGTGTGCTTGTTTTTTCCCTTAGAAGACTACTCAAATTGTTGTAGTTTCTGTTTTATTTTACAGGAAAGTGGCAAGAAACTTGAAGAAAACATTTATTATTTTGGAACTACAGTGAGAGGCCTTCTAAGTAGGTTTGGCAAGGTAACTATTATTATTTTTTCTGTTATATTTATTGGTGAATAGTTTTATCTTCAACCAGATCAACCTGGCTGGAGTCTAGAGTGGACTGTGTGTATGGCAAGAGCCAGGACTTCGTTTACCCAACAAACACGTTTCCATTGAATGTGAGAAAATACACGGGGTTTGGCACTTACCAAAGAGGTTTCAAAACACAGCAATTTTACTGTTGGCTGCAGCCAGAAAGACTGTTAAAAGGTGGAACATACTTAGTCCAAAACTTCATAGTTTAAATGCAGTTAATCCGGAACTTTCTGACTGATGGTAGAACCTGTCTATGCTAACTAAGTATGAACCTAAATACAAAGTATGAAAACCAATTGTTTGGTTCAAGTTTTAACTTGACAAAGTCCAAGCTAATAATCATTTTTACTCTTCTAGACAATAGTGGAAGAGCAGTTGGTTCTGAAGAGAGTGGCAGATATAGTTATTAATTTATATGCAATGACAGCAGCTATTTCCAGAGCTAGCCGGTCTATCAGTATCGGTCTAAGAAACCACGACCATGAAGTAAGTATACTGTAATATCAGTCATACCCATTTAATGTCTGCGCCCCGTGGGTCATGTAGCTTAACAATCGGTATTTATTGCCAGTGTTTTGTAATAACGAGGCACTCCGCAGCCTCAGACTTTGCACTGTAACAACAGCCTCTGTACTTTTTACAAGTCTCTCACCAGCTGCTTCTGCCTCGATGAGCCAACTTTCCCCTCAACTCTGAAATGTGCACCAGCGTGATGCTGTCCTAAAAGAGCGCTTTAAACCCACAGGCACTGCCTGCTAATGTCTCAGGCTTTGGAAAACCTCAGTAACAAATAGCTTTCATTACACTTAAAAGTACACTCTGTATTTGTTAAGAATTTATATCTACCACAGCAAACTCTCCCATAAAAGTGACGGTGCATGAGGATGTTTCTAAACTGATTGGTGCAAGAGTGCGGTAACCACACCACCAATTGTCTCTGAGGTGCTCCAAACATAACCAGTTGCACGCTATCAAAGTGTTTAAAATTTTTTAACTCATACATACACATTTATGAATTAATTATAAATTTGCATGTTCTCTTTAAACCTGCTAATACCATGCAGTTCTTCCGAAACTCTTTCCGTATAATCACTAATAAATAGCAACATCTAATAAGAACAATATTTGGTCAATAAATTTATTGACAGTAAAGAGTGAGAGTTTGACACACAGGTGATTGTGTAGTAGCTCATTTAAAGTTTCATGGTAACAGTGAGGCTACAGGACAAGTAAATTTGCTACAATTATGTGTTAGACAAATCCAAACTGATTAACCTTTGTTTGTCTTCACTGGCCTTGAGACTTCATATTTTGTGTGTGTAAGCCCCTTCTGGATTTATGACCAAAAATGTCTTCCCATCAGTTTTGAGTGAAGGGCTCATCTCAGCTCTAGCACACAGTAGCTGTGGGGAAAAAGCAACAACGCAGTTTGCAACATACACCACTAGCTTGCAGGGCTCCGTTATCAAGAGGCAAAACTAGACTTTCAGAAGTTTAAATGACTGTATTTTTAAATTCATTCACTAGTTTTCAGCTGAGTTTTACTGTTTTCTCAGGTGCTTCTTACAAATATCTTCTGCACGGAAGCATATTTCAAGAATAACTATGCTATGGCTCAATTACAGAAATGTAAGTTTTATAAAATAATTTTTATACTCTTATGCCTTTGACAGACTCTAATCAAAAGTAGGTGTTTTTCATGTGACCAACAGAATAGTTTTGCTCTGCTTTTAATTCGGATGAGGAACAGAACTGGTACCAGTTGAAAATAAAGAGTCTCTTCATTTAACAGAGGAAACAAACTACAGTGATTCTTTTTTCCAGCTGTGGGGAAGAATATAAAAATCTATCGGTAGCAAATACTAGCTAAGAATGAGGTATTTGACCTATTTGTTTAAGTACTGACTACTGACCAATTAGGCATTTGCTGTGTAAAACTCAGTCTGCAATAATCAGTCTTTTTTAGAAGATAATGTTAAATTATTTCCTGGCACTCAAGTTGTCAGTATTTGTATTCTAAAATCCTTTTTGAAAGACATTTAGAAAAGCTATTTATGGTACTTTAGTTAACTTTCCTTCTGTTTCTCCATAGATGCAGATGAAAATTTGGATGACTGTATTAAAAAAGCTGCAAAGCAGGTACTGGAAAAGAGAGCGTACATCTGTTCCCATCCACTGGACAGGACATTCTAGTTACTTCCCTGACAGCAAATACTGATGAATGTAAATCACTGACTTAATTTTCTGCAGTTCAGGTATTTGGCACCTTAAAAATAATTATTTTGTGAGTTTACTAAATGTAGCTGTAACTGTGTAAAATAAAACTTCTAAACACAACTTCATATGAAGAGGATAAATAAAGAAATTTTATTTAAATTATCAAGTTATTTTATTAGGTGTATATATGTCTGGAGCTAAATACAGTTGAGGTTCTGACAGTGAGATGTATTTTCCCAGGGAAGGGATTGGGTGGTTTTGTAAGTATCTGTAAGCTTAAATCAACTACTTGCTTACCTTTAGACAAGCACTGAAAGACTTGCAGAATCAGCACAGTTTAGTTTGGAGGGGGCCTTCGGAGGTCATCTTGTCCAGTGCGCTGCAGACAGCGGCCCGAGCTACACTCATCGGTGCCTTCTCCAGGTGAGGCTGGAGTGGCTCTAAGGATGGGGAGGTTCACTGTCTCCCTGAGCTCTCACTGAAGTGGTTTTTTCCTTGTATTTAATCAGAAGTTCTCCACATTCTTTTCTTGGCCTTGCTCTTAAGCCTTACACTGGCCCCTTTGTTTTGTTTTTTAAAAAACAATAAATAGGGGGTTTTATTTAAATACAAGCTGTCATCTTCGTTAAAAAGAAAAAGCGACAATAGATTTTTTCCATGAGCATTATTTGGACATGGTGACAGTTTACGCATTTTTTCCCCTACCCTCTTGATAACACCCAAACATAATAATTTAGCTACCTCTTAACTGTCCCTGCAAGGTCGGTTTTATCCAGTGACACATTTCAACAGTGTCCCCATACTTGCCTTTGGGAATTACGTGCTGGCCAGATGTCATTAGGAAGGCAATTCTTTTGGGTCACAGGTGTACATTACCTGTTGTTCATTGAGTGCTTCCTGTTTACCCAGTTACCTACATCCAGAACAATTTGGCGGTAGCGTATCCTTCTGGAGAGGGGCTTCCTGTTGTGTGAGGATGGTGGTGCATCCTCTGGCTCTGGCAGATTGTAAACAAATGAATGTTTACAGCAAAGTAACCTGGAATGAAGGAGGACACTTAGATTAAGCTGTATCTCCTTATCTACAAATGCCTAATAAATAGAGTCGCAATTTTTTTTCAATTGAAGATGTTTACTGAACACTGAATCTGTAAAATAATTGATAGTAATAGCCAATGAGCTCACTACTTTGATCGATTACTGTGACTGCGTTGTTACTTCATTTGTGGTGCTCAACAAGTCTTAGGAGAAGTGTGATTTGAATAAGGACCTTTGATCTTGGAGAGCATTTAAGGATTGATGTGGGCTCTGGCAAAATGTGCTAACAGCTTAGTAGTTCTGAATCAGCTACCACAAAGAGTAATTTTGTTAGCGCACACCCTCTTTTCTGCCTTTGGAAGACAGAGGCCAGCTATGCAGTGACAAATCTGGCGTTCAACCTAGTAAAACACCAAGTTCAACACAGGAGCTAATGAATCACCATTTCACAAGTTGACGCTCAAAAGACTAAAGTCTGACCTTGTTAAGCGTGATTTATGTCTAGTGTGGGATTCTGAAAGATTACATTTCTGCAAGAACTGAATAATTAAATGAAGTGAAGCAGTATCTTGGACAGTTTTATGGCATGACAGCAAAATAAAGGCCTGAACTCATCTCCCACAATGAAGAGCAAAATACCAATTAAACCACTTTATATTGTTCCATATGTAATTGAGATAGTAACTACAAGTTTCCTGTTAATGCACAATTTGCTGTCTGATATAATTTAATTTAGAAAGTAAGCTCAAATAACATGAAACTTCTTCAAATTTCTAGCAGTTAAGTCAAACTGGAAAGGTAAAAATTGCTCTTCAAGGACTTAAGATTTACGGTTTTTAGATTAGAAATGCAGCAGCCTCCGTTCTCCAATGTAAGGCAAGGCTAGGCATATGGCTGAAGCAGCAGTGCCTCTGACAGCTCTGTGGAAAGCTCCATCTGCAAACATGTAGGTAATACATAGCAACGCCCAGGACCAAACCTAATTCCTTAGTTCTGGAGTTTGGACTTGAAAGGGAGACCTCCCAAGAACAAGTTGTCTTACATAATTGCTTTGTTTCTTTGGCATACACCCTAAGAATTTAATTTACCAACCTAGTAATTTAATTTTTAGAATGTCTCTATGCTGTAACTCTGACACACACCATAGAAAATGGTGTAGGCCCACTTGTGCTATTTCTAGCAATCGGGTTGTCTTGCTTGAAATCTGTGCCTTGGAGTTTTTCCAACTTCTTATGCCTTGTGGTGTGACTGGGGATAACGTTCTCGCTCCACTTCAAGCTGTGCTGGGCATCAGGACCTGGTACAAAGCCACAGGCAATGCCCTTCCTGGGAGGGCAGCTGAACTGGTGTCACAGGGCTGGGACCGGCTGGGACAAGAAAATAGGGTATGTTCAGGGGCTCAGCCAGCTAGGCTTAAAAAAAAAAAAAAAGAAGAGGGGAGGGATGTCTGCCTACACAGGAAGTTTTGGGTGCCTTTGAGCTCCAAGGTGAGTCAATTTTTAAATGCATAGATTCCCCAAAACATGGACAAGAAAATAAAAGCTGTTGCAGCCTCATATACTGCTACATAAATGAGCCCCAGAGCATTTACTTTCCAGGCAAACCAAAAGGTTGGAAATGTATATAGCTAAAGTGTGCATTGCTCGAACTTATATGGTCTTACAAGCCCTGTACTTGAGACCACTTTTAAAAGAAAAAAAAAAAAAATATAGCACCACTATGTGCAACCTTTGTGCTTCAAAACCTTTAAGATACAAATCACAATCTGATTCCTGGTGTTAAAAAAAACCACCCAACCAAAACCAAAACAAAAGTCAGTAAACATAAAGCTCTGCCTTGGAAGTGTCCACACGGCTGTCAGGTGGTTTGCTTGCCTAACAACAAGTGAGTAGCACTATTTAGCAGAAATTGTCCCAGTAAGCAAACAGCTGCACCAGACAAGCACCAAGAAACTCCAGCTACGCAGAAGCACGATTTGAACCTAAGAAGCGAGCCTACCGAACACAGTGCGTCCGCTGACACCCACAGAAGGCTACAGAAGGCTACATAAGGCATGTGGTTTGAGAGCGAGTCCAGCATTTGAAGCTGGTACAGGAAGCCTGCATGACTAAATTTTTTTTTTTTTTTAAAAGGCTGTATTTGCTTTTATAGCAAAAAAGTAAATCGTGTTAGAGCTACAAAGCCTGGGCCTCGGAAAAGGCTGTTCCCCACGATGCACGGACTGGCCCGTGTCAGTTACCAGCTGGGGAGAGGGGGGTGCCGGGCTGGAGCCCAGTGCTCGGATGAGCAATGAGACCTTGGGAAGGGTGGAAGGGTGGTCGAGCACCCAAGGGATAGTCCGAGTGACCCCGCTGTGTTCCAGCAATGCCCACACCCGTGTGGCTGATATGACCTGTCATCAGGGAGCTTGGAATCCTGACCAGGAAAACAGGGAGGGGAGTTACACCGCTTCTTAGATAGTATGGAGGAAGAATGTGCAGCACTTGGCAACCAGCTGTAAGCTGCTACAACAAAGAAGGTGGTTTTGGTTTGTTTTTTTTTTTTAATTATTTAAAAAAAAAATCAGGTGAAGGAGGAAGCGATCCAAGAGAGACAAATTGGTAGGGCACACAATAGCCTAAGAATGAGCAGATAATAGAAGGCAATGGCACTGAATTAGCCAGTGGAGCTGAGATACTGTGGTCACCCTTCTGAAAACAATCTTACATAAAAATAAGCAGAAAATAAATGACATGATAATGTGACTCTGCAAGTTTAGCTTTAATATATCCATCATGTTAAATTCTATGTTCCTTCAGCAAGACACATCACCCAGCAAGGATGTTTTCTTTCTTTCTCTGTCACAGGAAAAACACTGCACTGGAAAAGGAGGGTAGTTTGGAAATTATTAAAAGCAAGAACTAAAAATACAGTGGTTTTTTTTTGTTTGTTTGTTTTAATCTTTCTTCCAAAGCAGACCCTTGGCAGTTAATACATGTAACATCTCCTTTATAAAGGGTTGTCTTTGCAAAAGTAGCCAATTTTGTGAGGCAAGACAGAAATGCCTTCCCATGGGCCATAGTCGGAAGGCTTGAAAAATCCGTTCAAGATACTTGGGATATGACAAAGTCTGATTGCTGTAATTAAATGTCATGAAGTGCAAGATGTAAGTTAGCTAATAAACTAATATTTATACACAACCTAGCAAAAAAGGGCTGAATCTCGGAATTACAGGAAATGGGTAAAGAGTCCAAGATGGACAAGTTTCACAGTTTGAACAGCCAGAGCAAAACAGAAGCTCAAGCACAGAGAGCACAATGGGATACGCAGTTCAAAGCCTGACACTGTGAAGTGAGGAGGCCAGGCAGTTTGCTGCTGAGTGTCCATTTAATACATGGACTGGCACTCAGATTAATAAAAAAGAAAAAAAAGGGAGTGGGTGGCACTGAGTTGGCCTCAAAGTTTTAACTCCGCTTTTGTTACCAACATTCTCGTAGTTCCTGTGTTTGTTTTTCTAGAGCATTTGTAGCCAACAGCGCGCTTCAGACCCTTTGATCAAAATCAGCTTTAAAAGCATGCTCAGGGTTTGGGGCAGTCATTTAGATGCAAGCACTGACTATGATTCAGCCAACAAAAGAACAGTTAGGCGCAGGCCACCCATACAGCTTTTCATATTAATGAGCACAAATCCTTTAGTCTTGCAAACTGGGGTGTCTGTGTGGGATTTTTGCACCTACAGGCTGAAGTGCAAGGCTCGGGAAGTCTACACAGCACTATGGTAATCAAGAGAACACATGGTGAGACATTTGGCATCTTGTCTATAGAAGTGCCTCGACCCCTACATTTCATTAGGGGACATTACAATTTCTTTTAGAGCCGCTAAGCCAGCTGGCCAAAAATTGTTCTTTTCTGACCCACTGCACACTGACAGGCAAGTTAGTTAATTGAACAGAAATTCTCCCCCTTCATTATCTCTGAGCATCAAAGGAAAGAACTAAAAATAATAATAATAAAAAAAAAATGTGCCCAGGGTAAAATGTTTTTCTAACAGCAGCTTTCTAAGCTTGACTCAACCAGTGCTATCAACACCAATTTTAAAAATATTTTTACCTCCAAAAGTCTTGTGCAAAATTAAGTGTCACGTTATCTGCGTTCCATCAAGTGCAGGACAGCTGTTG